ACACAGTTTCTAGTTTTATGAGAGAAGAGAGAGAGAGAGAAAGAGAGATGAAAGGGCGAGTGAAACGGAGGGGATAGATCAAAAGACATAGGGAACGAGACTAGGGGTAACTATGTGTGTGAGCAGGACCAGGGGTGGCTATAATATGCCCGGGACCAGGGGTGGCTAGATGCGTGTGCCAGGGACCAGGGGTGGCTATACATGCGTGTGCCCGGGACCAGGGATGGCTATACATGCGTGTGCCCGGGACCAGGGGTGGCTAGATGCGTGTGCCAGGGACCAGGGATGGCTATATGCGTGTGCCCGGGACCAGGGGTGGCTATATGTGTGTGCCCGGGACCAGGGGTGGCTATACATGCGTGTGCCAGGGACCAAGGGTGGCTATATATATGTGTGTCCGGGACCAGGGGTGGCTACATGTGTGTCCGGGATCAGGGAGTGGCTACATGCGTGTGACCGGGACCAGGGGTGGCTATATGTGTGTGCCCGAGACCAGAGGTGGCTAGATGTGCATGTGTGTCCGGGACCAGGGGTGGCTACATGCGTGTGACCGGGACAAACGGTGGCTACATGAGTGTGCCAGGGACCAGGAGTTGCTATATGTGTGTGCCCGAGACCAGGGGTGGATATATGTGCATGTGTGTCCGGGACCAGGGGTGGCTACATGCGTGTGACCGGGACCAAGGGTGGCTACATGCGTGTGCCAGGGACCAGGAGTGGCTATATGTGTGTACCAGCGACCAGGGGTGCCTATATGCAGGTGAGCGGGAGCAGAGCTTGACGATTCTTACGGCGGCTCTTGCTGGCACTAAACGTTAGAATCATGTACGTCGCACGGCGGGATATAACGAGTTAGCACGGCCGCACCCGCAGTGTGGGGTCTCCGCTAATGATCTGACCTCTGACCTCCCCCCCCCGCGGATGCTGCTAAACACGTGTAAAGTAACAGCAAGGCTTAACTCAAAGCAAAGGGCGTGCGTTGGCTGGTGTGTGTGTGCGCGTGTGCGTGCGCGCGTGTGCGTTTGCGTTTGCGTGTGTGTGTGTGTGTGTGTGTGTGTGTGTGTGTGTGTGTGTGTGTGTGTGTGTGTGTGTGTGTGTGTGTGTGTGTGTGGTGGTGGGGGGGGGGACTTGTCGTAGCCTGCAGGGAACTAACATATATAATTATGTTAGGATTGCGAGTATTATAGGGTGAATATAGGTCTGTAGTGAACTCGCCTAGCCGGCAAACCCGACCCATGTGTCGAGTTTACCCGTCTGGAGGTCGGCAAACTCGGCTTGTAGGTCTAAATAACTCGCCTGGTGAGGCGGGTGCTAACATGTTATGATGGTTAACAAGGTAGCTAGCATCTCTTGGCTTTCTGGATGGAGCCACTTGCATTTCTACCACCCTGGCATTGGCAGCCACACTGCTGGGCAGTCGCACTGTTGGGCAGCCGCACTGTTGGGCAGAAAATGTGGGGCAGCCGCCGCACAGTTTGGGCAGACAATGTTGGGCAGACTATATGTTGAGCAGCCGCACTGTTGGGCAGACTATGTTGGGCAGCCGCACTGTTAGGCAGACCATGTTGGGCAGCCGCACTGTTAGGCAGACCATGTTGGGCAGCCGCACTGTTAGGTAGACTATGTTGGGCAGCCGCACTGTTAGGCAGACCATGTTGGGCAGCCGCACTGTTAGGTAGACTATGTTGGGCAGCCGCACTGTTAGGTAGACTATATGTTGGGCAGCCACACTGTTAGGCAGACCATGTTGGGCAGCCGCACTGTTAGGCAGACCATGTTGGGCAGCCGCACTGTTAGGTAGACTATATGTTGGGCAGCCACACTGTTAGGCAGACCATGTTGGGCAGCCATACTGTTAGGCAGACTATGAGGAGCAGACTATGGTGGGCAGCCACACGGTTGGGCCGACTATGTTGGGCAGAATATGTTGCCACACTGTTAGGCAGAATATATGTTGGGCAGCCACACTGTTAGGCAGACTATGTTGGGCAGCCGCACTGTTAGCCAGACTATGTTGGGCAGCCGCACTGTTAGGCAAACTATGTTGGGCAGCCGCACTGTTAGGCAGACTATGTTGGGCAGCCGCACTGTTGGGCAGACTATATGTTGGGCAGCCGCACTGTTGGGCAGCCGCACTGTTGGGCAGCCGCACTGTTGGGCAGCCGCACTGTTGGGCAGCCGCACTGTTTGGTAGACTATGTTGCCACACTGTTGGGCATCACACTGTTAGGCAGACTATGTTGGGCAGCCACACTGATAGGCAGACTATGTTGGGCAGATCATGTTGGGCAGACTATGTTGCCGCACTGTTGGGCAGACTATATGTTGGACAGCCGCACTGTTGGCTAGACCATGTTGGGCAGCCGCACTGTTAGGTAGACTATATGTTGAGCAGCCACACTGTTAGACAGACTATGTTGGGCAGCCACACTGTTGGGCAGACTATATGTTGGGCAGCCGCACTGTTGGGTAGACCATGTTGGGCAGCCACACTGTTGGGCAGACTATATGTTGGGCAGCCGCACTGTTGGGTAGACCATGTTGGGCAGCCACACTGTTAGGCAGACTGTGTTGGGCAGCCGCACTGTTGGGTAGACCATGTTGGGCAGCCACACTGTTAGGCAGACTACGTTGGACAGCCACACTGTTAGGTAGACTATATGTTGGGCAGCTACACGGTTGGGCAGACTATTATGTTAGGCAGCCACACTGTTAGGCAGACTATGTTGGGCAGCCACACTGTTAGGCAGACTATGTTGGGCAGCCACACTGTTAGGCAGACTATGTTGGGCAGCCACACTGTTAGGCAGACTATGTTGGGCAGCCACACTGTTAGGCAGACTATGTTGGGCAACCGCACTGTTAGGCAGACTATGTTGGGCAGCCACACTGTTAGGCAGACTATGTTGGGCAGCCGCACTGTTAGGCAGACTATGTTGGGCAGCCGCACTGTTAGGCAGACTATGTTGGGCAGCCGCACTGTTAGGCAGACTATGTTGGGCAGCCGCACTGTTAGGCAGACTATATGATGAGCAGCCACACTGTTAGGCAGACTATGTTGGGCAGCCACACTGTTAGGCAGACTATGTTGGGCAGCCACACTGTTGGGCAGACTATATGTTGGGCAGCCGCACTGTTGGGCAGACTATGTTGGGCAGCCCGACAGCAGGCCACGAGTTGCGCCTTTTCCCACAGCATTCGGGGATGTATATAATATGTGTGTGTGGAGGTGGCGAGCGTGCACGCAGCAATCATCACCCGTCATTATCACCTGCAGAGAGCGGTGTCTTTGTAGCCCGCCGTGCTGGCGGGCTGTCACAGCGTACAACACTAGCCACTCATACCATGCGTCGAGGGCACGGGCACTCGCCCGTACGTACGTACATGCACACACGCACGCGCGCGTACACACGCACACAAGCACACAAGCACGCACACACGCGCAAACAAACACGCTCACACGCGTACACAAGCACGCACACATACACGCATATTATCTAGAGAGAGAAAAGGAGAGAGAGAGAGACGGGGGAAAGGGAGAGAGAGAGAGAGAGAGAGCGAGCGGGCAGACAGACCCGCTGTTGTCCACGGCAGCCACGCTAATAGCGAGACCAACAGCAGGTAACACGGCCCGATGATCATGATTCAGATAATGGGCAGCGTCCTAGCGCAGGTAATGGAGTTGGCTAATTACATGCAGGGGCGTGTATGTGTGGCCCATTTTAGACGGTGTCACACTCCACTGATCGTGGGTGGAGGGATGTATTTATGTCACAGATCCCGGCGGGAAGGTGTTTAATGTTAGTCGCATCAATGTGTGAGGTGGAGGGGGTGTTTATTCCACGTAGCTCGGTGGGGGTGGTGTTTACCCAAGCTGGGGTATAAATGCTCATACACGTGGACGCGTATGTTACACACGTCAAACGCGAACGATGTGCGTTACATGATAAAGCTGCGAATTAATGTGCGAGTTTGCCACACACTCACTATAATAATCTCCACATGATTTATATTGCGAGTACAATGAAACGTCAAAGGTGTAATAATAAATCCGTCTTCATTCCATTCGTCTGCATAATGGTTTGCCGTAGAAAGTGACTTCAGCTGAGTATGAAACCGATTTATAACCACACTATTGGCTTTGTGCTTCAACGCGATTGTTTAAAAATTAAGACATACAAAACTATACACTAATTAAAACTAAACACGATATCAAAGAAGTAGTCATGAAAATACAATTCTTCTGTATTTAACGCAATCAGTTGTACATAATCGCAGTCACAGTAACGTAGCAGCCGGCTGAAAGGGGTGATAGGATATGTTTACTAGGCACTTCTAATTTTAACATATATTTTACGATATATTAAAGAATGATGCAAAAACCCTAAAAAGTGCCCTAACCCTAACCCTAACCCTAACCCTAATTAAATTTAAAATATATGTTAAAATTAGAAGTGCCTAGTAAACATATCCTATCCCCCCTTTCAGCCGGCTGCAGTAACGTAGCTATTTCGCATAGAGAAACACATTTGTGTATCTATACATTAGTATCATTGTGGCTATAGAGGGCAGCACAATGCAGGCAACTGCACAGACGTGGCACGTGTTTGCAACACTCATAAAAATAATATAGATACACTAGTCTCGCTATATTATTTCTATGGCAACACCCAAGTAGTTGCATCGACCGCCACCTAGATAGATTTTTATCAATATCGTTCACGACTAATATGTACATAAAGTACCAAACGACGATGCAGCTGTAATTGAATACTGTTAAATAAATACATATTGCCACCTAATAATACAAATAACACACTCTTGGACACACTCAATACGTATTAACAAGAAGTTTACATTTATTCACCTATCTTCCATAACAAACACTCAAGTGTTAACATGAAGTGTATGCTTATTCACCTCTCTCCCATAACAAGTGATCAGGCGGTAACATGGAAGTGCACGCACATTCAGCTCTATTCAGTAACAGGCGATCAAGGGTTAACATCAAGTGTACACTCATCCGCCTCTCTATCTCTCACACACACACAACACTTCTTCAAGAGTTAGTATGTAGAGACTGCAGTAAGGGGGACGTTCCCGTCTGTAGCGACGATGATGCCGGCAGTAGTGAGGACGTTCCCTTCTGCTTCCTGTAAAGTTGGATCACTCGCTCACGCTCAGCATCCAGATGAGACGGGATACTAGAGAAGCGTTGCCGAAAGGAGATTTGATCCGAAGCGCTGAAGCGCAGATCTTTCGCGCAGTTTTCCCAGCATCCATCCTCCCAGCATCCATCCTCGCAGCATCCCTCCTCCCAGCATCTATCCTTCCAGCATCCATCCTTCCAGCATCCATCTTCCTAGCATCCCTCCTCCCAGCACTCATCCTTACAGCATCCCTCCTCCCAGCATCCCTCCTCCCAGCATCCATCCTCCCAGCATCTATCCTCCCAGCATCCATCCTTCCAGCATCCATCCTTCCAGCATCCATCCTCCTAGCATCCCTCCTCCCAGCATTCATCCTTACAGCATCCCTCCTCCCAGCATCCCTCCTCCCAGCATCCATCCTCCCAGCATCCATCCTCCCAGCACCCATCCTCCCAGCATCCATCCTCCTAGCATCCCTCCTCCCAGCATCCATCCTTACAGCATCCATCCTCCCAGCATCCCTTTTCCTAGCATCTATCTTCCCAGCATCTATCCTCCCAGCATCCATCCTTCCAGCATCCATCCTCTCAGCATTCATCCTCCCAGCATCCATCCTCCCAGCATCCATCTTCCCAGCATCCATCCTTCCAGCCCTCATCATTCCAGCTTCCGCATTCGCAAGAAGCCATCAATGATGATGTGAGCAGCGTAGAGGGACAACGTCCCTGCCCGATGACTCATGCCCGGTGTTGGAGCCGGAGACTATCGATGCAAACGCCAGCCCGCTGCTCTATGTATTGGCTGCCGCCACGCCGCAGCAGTGCCACTAGCTACGCCTGCTAACAGATCGATGCAGGCAGAAATGATCGTGGGAGAATCGAAGATATAGGTTCCAGGCCCGGCGAATACTTATCGAGAAAAATCAGTACGATATTCGGAATATTCTCGGTTAAATGGCGTCGGTGTAGTGTAGCGCTAGGCTTGTGGGTGAAGAGGGACGGTGGTGTGAAGCAGGGGTGGTGGGATGGGAGTATTTTCCGCGACGAAATGCCTGGCGAGTGCGTCGCTGCGTGCGTGCGTGCGTGCGTGCGTGCGTGCGTGCGTGCGTGCGTGTGTGCGTGCGTATGTGCTCTCAGCTTGCTATAGCTGCTTAGATAGCAGACAGTAGGATTGGTTTGACCCTCTGTCGACCATAGATTCACTCCACTTACTATGATCGCCGGCTTATAGCTGACGAACTCAATCACACAATCAACATGCGCGCGCGCGTACGCTAACACACACGAACGCATGCACGCACGTGTGCACGAACGCGTGCACGCATTATGCAAGTACGCGCGCAAGAAGAAGTGAATTTACACACGCACTTACGCACACGCACTTACGCACACGTACTTACGCACCCCCCCCCCACACACACACACACACACGCACACACACCACACCCCATATACACACACGCGCGCGCGCGCACGCGCACACGCACTCGCACTCGCACACACACGCACGCACGCACAAACGAACGAACGCACACACACACACACACACAACCACACACACACACACATACACACACGCCGAGAGACGGACCACAGCACCAGCACCACCACCACTCCATGATGTAACCGACGCTATTATCATGGGGAAGCACACGCAATTGATGGAACAGCCGTCACTTAAACATGGCTCCGCCCCCACCGCGTAACCATTCCAGCACAATGAAGAGAGTGGGGCGCTTGTGAGGGTGACAGGGTGCGAGAGCTGGGAGCAAGAATCAACTGCGTGGCAGATAGGAATTGATAGATTGGAGAACAGCGAGATACAGAGCGAAAAAGGGAGAGTAGTTTCGGTGGTTGCATGGCTACCTCCCCGAATTCAATCTCATTTGCAAAAATGAATGCGCATTCTCCATGTAATATTCTTTCAAACTTAGAAGTTTCCATTCAGTGCTCGTAACCAGAGATGGTTGCACTACTGTGTCTACTACCAGAGCCGCATTTTTGCCTGGGTTTACAAAATTAATATTTTTTGCCAATTATAATTCGAGCATACACATGCCTTCACGTCCAAACCACAATATACTAAGGGTGATAACTAGGTACAATTTAATATTGTGAGCATATTGTGACAGTTGAAATACCATTGCCAATATTATATAACAGTAATTTAAAAGCCATTGTGATATTATTGCGGTACTACAGATGTATTGTGAAATTGAGTATTATAATGTTGACACCTTTATGTTATTTTTGACTCTGTATAATATTGAGAATTTGTAATTTTGGTATAATTACTTGACCAATACCTTGTTGTTCCACTAACACACTCGTGCATAGCCTGTGAGATAGTCGAGTGGTCGAGTGGACAATGAGTAAATGACGGGGATAGTTCATGGGCCAAGACTCCAAAAATAGGGTTATTTGTACCATATGGAGGGACCAGTGTTATCA